AAGTATATTGGTATCATCTGCAAAAATTACAAACTTTAGTATCTTCGATACTTTACAAATATCATTCATATACATAATAAACATTTTCGGACCCAATACTGATCCTTGAGGTACTCCACATTCAATCAAGGCTGTGATGATCCACTTGGTAAAGTAAATCCATTGCATCTTTCTTGGCCTTCAGACAGTAATTCTGATGGCTAAAGAATCAAACGGGACAGGTAAAAAAAAAGAAAAACCTTCAGTAGGTACACTGTACTGTATAAATGAATGTATTGTTACTGACTTACCACATACATTCAGTATTCCTTTGTCGAAAAGGAAAGTTTTCAGCCTAATCTTAAAAGTAGAGAGGATGTCTGTCTACAGAATCCAAACTAGAAGCTGGTTCCACTGGATTGTACACTACACTTAGGTTTAGCAGGAAAGGCGTAGATGTGAGAACACTGTCAGAAGCAGTGTTGGTCAAGTTACTTGAAAAAAAAAATTAGTATCTAATTACTGATTACCTATCCAAAAAAATTGTCCCGTTACTATTGTGATTACTTATTTTGAAATGTAATTAGTTACTTACTTAGTTACTTTTTAAAAACATGATACACAACCTGAATATAAAGCAAAAGACTTTTCAGCCCAATTCAATTTTATAATCCATTATATAAAATGTAATCAAATAAAAAGACTTTCTTTAAAAATTGTTTTAGTAATTTTAATCTTTTAACTTTATGCTCATTACATCAAGCAAAAATTAAATTATATGCAATAGTCTTTGACTTGAAGAAATTTGTTTAACATTTAAACCTATTTTCTGCATATTCCAGCATATAAAATAAATAACATTTTGCGTTTACATTCACTCACTAAAACACAGCAGAAAATAAATAAAATCAAAGACTCAGCTGCACTGAGTCCTGTTGTTTGTAAATCTATTTGAATCTATTTAGCAGGAGTGTAGAAGGTGGAGGTTTGCCTGGTGCAGCAGCGGTCATGTCAGTGGGGGGATCCGGGGATTTCTCTGT